AGATATTTCAACATGCTATTAAACTGTTGTCAGTCAAGTTGTCATTTAAAATCCGAACATCATTGGTAAATGTTATTGTTTTAGTGATTATGCAAACAAAAAGTTATTTTATTTGTTGTTTGTTGATTTTTAAATATAAAACTTGGTGAAGTGATTTATGTGTCGGTAATTTTTTAACATCTCCAGCAGATTTTAACAATACCATGATAATAGTGATAACCGTGATAATTTTGGTCACTATAATCGTAATAAGAAATTTTCATACCGTTACATCCCTAGCTTCAACTGAACAGACTGAAGCAAGAATAATGATTAAATATATAAATACATCATATGGTAAGTTTGGATGTAATATAAATTAATTATAATATAAACTTAAATGCTTCTTCATGGTTTAACAATAAGGATGGCCAATGTGAAGGAGATTTAAGCTATTTAATGAAACTTTAACTTGCCCTATTAGACCAGGACTGAGTTCTTACATCTAATGTTCGCATTAAACATGGATATGTGTTTTTATGCCTATTAACATAAAGATTTGCTGTCATGTTCTTAACATGTATATATGTCTTCAAATTTAAATATATCTTCAAGGTAGTTGAAGCTGAGGTTTTGTTGGAATTGTGTGACTTGTGATAGTCTTGGTAGAAACAACATGCCATCATTTTCAAGCAAAAGTGCATGTATGAATTTATAGCTGTCATGAAGTTATATTACAGCTGTAGGATTTCCACCTATTATTTTAATTAAAAACGCAATAACAACCTAATAAATCATTTGTCAATTTTTGGTATAAAATATTTCTGTCAAATTTCAAAAAGCATAAATAATTTATAATTTTGTCGTGGGACAGTGAAAACATTGGCAGGGCAAGACCAAATTCGAACTACTGGCACAATCTGACCAACAGAAGAAGAAGAAGAAAGAAAAAAAATCCTTATTGTTGAGCTGTATAAAATAAATCCCCTGAACTTGCTATGAGAAAAAAGAACTGGCTTCAACCATGTTGTGTTGTGCTTTATTGACAGCCTGGACAATGTTTCAGAGGTATAACACACTTCTAAAGTCCCCTTTGGACATGCTCTCAGAATGATGTATGCTGTCTATTGAGGTGACTCACCCGTGAGCTCACAACCCAGGAGCTCCATGCGAAGAGTGCAGTGTCTCCTGCACACCTGCGGGTAGATCCTCACATACTGAGCCTCGATAGGAGCGGTGATATATATATATATATATATATATATATATATACTGTATATATCAGCCTGATCTCATGTTTATAAGTAGGTATTAATTAATTGATAATTAATTAATTGATGCTTAAACGTACAATTTAGACATATTTCAACGTTTAAAACGTACAAATTGCTATGTATTTGTAGCTAAAAAAAAGTAAAAAATATTTACGTATCTTTTATATCATTAAGATATTCATATCAATGCATTTGTATCATTTTATCAATAAGCGATTTAGATTTTTAGACTCCTTAACCTACCCCCAGACCTAAACCTACCCATACAGCGAATATGCATTTTTATCATTTTATTAATAAGCAATTTAGATTTTTAGACCCCTTAACCTACCCCCAAACCTAAACCTACCCATTTTATAGCGAATATGAAAGGATAAAACGCAAATGACCGAAATACGCTCCAGCCTGGTCTCATGTTTATACGTAGGTATTAATACGTAACATTTACAAGCACAAAACGTACACTTTTGTACGTTTTTATTAATGCTAAAACGTACAATTTAGACGTATTTCAACGTTTAAAACGTACAAATCGCTACGTATTTTTAGCTAAAAAACGTAAAAATATTTACGTATCTTTTATATCATTAAGATATTCATATCAATGCATTTGTATCATTTTATCAATAAGCGATTTAGATTTTTAGACTCCTTAACCTACCCCCAGACCTAAACCTACCCATACAGCGAATATGCATTTTTATCATTTTATTAATAAGCAATTTAGATTTTTAGACCCCTTAACCTACCCCAAATCTACCCATTTTACAGCGAATATGCATTTATATCATTTTATTAATAAGCAATTTAGATTTTTAGACCCCTTAACCTACCCCAAACCTACCCATTTTACAGCGAATATGCATTTTTATCATTTTATTAATAAGCAATTTAGATTTTTAGACCCCTTAACCTACCCCAAACCTACCCATTTTACAGCGAATATGCATTTTTATCATTTTATTAATAAGCAATTTAGATTTTTAGACACCTTAACCTACCCATTTTATAGCGAATATAAAGGATATAAAACCCAATTGACCGAAATATGCAGGAAAATAACAATTTTAGCAACAATATAGCATTACAATATTTTTATAGTCGCTAATCCCACTCCTACCTATAAACCTAAACATTTTTGTACAGTATAAGAAAAACATGACAGACAGATAAATTCAATTACAATCATTTATTTATTGCAAAAATGTCAAAAGCAGTACCAAAAGTAATCCAAATGACGATGCGTTGCAGCCGCGGTCCTCTCTGGCGGAATACAGTAGGTTTGTGAGATGCAGAGCAGAATTTATGTTGTTAATCGCTAAAAATATCGCAAATATCGCAATCTGTGACGAATGCAGGCGAGAGCCAATAAGTGTTCGATTATCCTGCAGTAAAACCTGTCGTTTGAAGCAGCAACATTTGAATTTGTAAAGAGCGCGTCAGTCAGCGAGGGCTTTGCTGCTTACGGTCACTGGTCTCGCTGCTCGGGATGGAGATGAAGATCGCCGAATAAAGGCTTCTATTGTGAGTCACAGCATGTCGGAGAAAACGCCTTTTGTGGCCCATGGCAATCAAAGTAAACATTACATGACAAGTAAAGGTTAAATGATTGCAGAAATGTTATTTATTTTAAGGTTTAAAGTGAAGTCTTGTTTAACATTACATAGGCCTATTCTTGGAAACAAGCTGGCAGCAGAAATCACAACAAAACAAAATGTTATTATTTCATATTAAGTAAAGGAGTAAACAATTTAATAATGCAATTGAAAAACAGATAATTGATATGACAACTAAAAACAACTAATAATAAAATTAATGCCGCGATTTCAATATTCATAAGGATTCATTTTAGGTGTCGTCAATACGTCAGTTTTGTGTTTAAATGCTGAAAATAGGTAAGTATTTTGTATGTTTAGATGCTGAAAATACGTCAGCATTGTACGTATAATTGTCAGCATTGTACGTCAGCATTGTTTTTAAGTAAATGTATGTTTTATAGAACCACATTTTACGTAAAATACATACAAATTATCATGAGATCACGTTG